CTCCTTGGTCTATCTTGCAAGACGGGTCCTAAAACTATTCATTCGTAGACTGGCGTGGAATCGCATTTCAATGAGATCATACAAACTGCTAGACTCATAAAATTGATGTTCTATTATTTAAATCTTATGCATTTTTTTTCAAATAGATTCTTTTTCTTTCTTTCTTTATAGGTTTTTGTTGGTTAGACATAAATCTCCGGCTGTTTTCATACTAAAAGAATAAATTCTTTATCTTCGACGTAGTAAAATTTTCCATACTTCCTGATCATCCTCGAGATTCTCAAAAAAGACAGCTAATGTTCCAAGGCATTCCATGGAAAATCGTTGGCAAACGTATTCAATTTAATCTACGTAATCAATAATAAAGAAAGAAATAATAAGAGTAAATATTATTTCAGCTTAGATGATTTGTTGAAAAAGATTTAGGTTATAATGTTGGCCATATTTTATTTACAAAACCTTAATAAATTTAACATAACCTTTTCCGGATGTGGAACAATTAAAACGTCCAAATAAATAAAACAACTTTCATAATTTAGACGTGACATTGCTCTAGATAATGCACCTGGACTAATTTTTAATACGATAGGTAATCAAGTTAATTGATGTTGTCCATTCTGATCATAGTATCCTTGTGTGATAAGTCCAAATGTGAAAAGTAAACCGTTCCTGATAAGGAATCTAAAATTACATCTATACATGGTTACGGAATCTTATCTTCCCTGATCTGTTTCTTTCAAAGTTATAACTAAACACCACTTTTTAATCTCATTGTTATCATCATCATCTCATTATTTATTCAAAATCATCAGAAAATGATTTGTTAATTAATTCTATTTTCAGAGAACTTGACACAAAAAAATTGAAATATGGTTCTTTCGTGATAATAGATATTAATAGATGTCACTATACTCTATTTTTTAATTCGGATGAGTAAAATGAAAAGTCAAGCTTAAACATAAGTCATGTTTAAACATAATAAAAACCAATAATATGCAACATGTCAATACAATTTGACATTGTATTTAAACCTCGATATAACGGATTAGTACGGGGAACGCAGTGTCCGTTATAGCTACATAAAGATATACAATAATCTAGCGCTGAATAACAAATAAAACTAGACTAATACTAGCACTAGAACTAACACTAGACTTAGAACTAGAAACATTCCGTTTAGCCGTACCTCTCTTAATACGTTGACTGCCATGAGAAGCTCAACTTGATGCACGGCAAAATTTCCACAACAGCCACGAGAAGCACCAGTTGATTCTCATGCCTATTTAATTTTAAAATGTTCCAGCCAGAATGGATAGACTTTTAGTTCTAGTTTTACACTAGCACTATCACTAGAACTAACACAAAACCTAGAACTAGAATCATTTGGGTTTAGCCGTCTTGAGAGATGTGACGCTAAATCCGAATGTTTCTAGTTCTCGGTCTAGTGTTAGTTGTAGTGGCAGTGGTAGGTAGCGCTAGTTAGCATAAGATATTACTATGTTGCATATTTTTTTTAACTAAAACTAGAACTAACACTAAATCTAGAACTAGAAAATATCTTGTTTAGCCGTGCGTCTTCAGACGATGAACCCAAAACTTTCTAATTCTAGGTCTGGTGTTAGTTCTAGTTTTGCACTATCACTAGAACTAACACAAGACTTAGAACTAGAATCATTTGGGTTTAGCCGTCTTGAGAGACGTGCGGCTAAACCCGAATGTTTCTAGTTCTCGGCCTAGTTTTACACTAGTGCTATCACTAGAACTAACACAAAACCTGGAACTAGAATCATTCGGGTTTAGCCGTCTTGAGAGACGTGCGGCTAAACCCAAATGTTTCTAGTTCTCGGTCTAGTGTTAGTTCTAGTTTTACACCAGCACTATCACTAGAACTAACACAAAACCTAGAACGAGAATCATTCGGGTTTAGCCGTCTTGAGAGACGTGCGGCTAAACCCGAATGATTCTAGTTCTAGGTTTTGTGTTAGTTCTAGTGTAAAACTAGAAGTAAGTCTTGAAAGATGTGTGGCTAAATTCGAATGTTTCTAGTTCTTGGTCTAGTCTAGTCTAGTCTAGTCTAGTCGAGATTTAACAATTATACAAAGATCGGTACTTCTGATACCTACTGATGTTACTTAGCTCTATGTTGCTTTTTCTATTTAATAAAATTTCCCTATTTTGATCTAAGGTTATTTTTATATTGTCAATAAGTTTATCTAAATTATCGTTTTTATTTCCTATATTATAAACTGCGGGTAGTAGTAGTTTGTATTGTTCTTCGATTGCATCTAATTTGCTAAGTTTATTTATTACTAATTCAAGATTACTACCCCTACTGAAATATTTTTAATCAAGTTTTCTTTAAAATTTATTAGAGTTTCAAATATTTCATTTAGATTTTCTAATGTTTTAGACATTACTCGTATATTAAATTTTAAACATTTGATTCGATCTGATTAAGTTTGTTACGACTTTGCGCGATTTCGCGACGGATTGTGGACACTAACGAACGCTTATCACGTTGATAGATGCATCGCAACACCATGATGAGCAAAAAACATCCAACTATGAGGGCTGCAACTTCCAGCAGGTCGTACTTCTTGTTTAATTCCGGGGTTGATGTGACACCTCCAAATTGGGCTACTATTACTTCTTCTTTTGTGTTGGTGGAACCTATTGTGAAAGTCCAAATTCGTGATAATTTAATTTAACTTTTCGCACAATTTTTCTATGGCACGCAACAACATTAACAGTACCAATATGGAACCAATAAAAACTAACATAACAAACAACGATTCTTCAAACAAATTTTGAAATGCTTCTTTTTCATTTGTATAACACATCTTGCGATGACTTTTGCCACAACTTTTTTCAATTCATGTTCATGCTGTCCAGCACTGGCATGATCGCCATGTAATAATTCGTGATTTTATGGTTTTCTATGTTTTATTGAAAAGACTAATTAATTTTAAACCATTTTATTTATAAGTAATTTAACAAGTAAGTAATACGATAGTCTACGATTGACTGTATAAAAGAAACTAATTCTAGTTGACAGGAAACGAGTAGTTCACTGATACTTGTGTTGTCAGCATATTTCAATTCATTCAGTGAACTACACGTTTTCAATATTATGCAAAAATAAAATAATAAGAATTCCTTAAAACTGAACTAAATTAAACTATTAAATATATCCATTACAGTTAGTTTTAGTGGCAGTGGTAGGTAGCGCTAGTTAGCATAAGATATTACTATGTTGTATATTTTTATTGAACTAAAACTAGAACTAGAACTAGAAAGTTTCGGGTTTAGCCGTGCGTCATCAGACTCCGACTTAAAAAATAGAGTATAGTTAAGTAAAAAGTATTAAAATTTTTTACTTTGACATCCGTTCCTTAAAAGAAAACTATTTTGCTTTCGTCTTGTCTAATTAGGAACACCCTCCGTTAGCTGCTTTAGGCGAAAGCTGCCGTTACGCGAAGCAAATTAAATTCGGCGCTTTCTTTTGATGACTCTCGCCAGACCGGGTGGCGCGCCCTACGGAATTACCGAAGCCCCGAGGTGCTCTCCAGGGACCCTTAATAAGCCAGCTCGGCAGAGGCTGTCGCGCGAAATAAGAACCGCCGGAGACGCGTCGTCAAGGACAAATCACCCTCTATAACAAACCCCCGAGTCTTATTTAGATCCCTTTAATATTGATCTAATAAATTCCGTTTTATAAAAATAGTTTTTAAAGAATCTCTGATCCGCGAGAACTTGGTAGGCAACAAAAGCACATTGTAACGTCTGGTGGCTATTGAAGAGTCGTTTTAGAAATCTTCGACGCCTTCCAGAACGCGTCGTGGCAAGAGGCTAATATGCAAGTAATTAACCGTCCGCACGGCGGCAGTTGGTAGCATGGATTTAATGGCCACGGCTCGAGGAGAATTTTAATATTTACACCTTACGGGATCATCGCTGTAGAACCGCGTATAGGTCCTAGTCACGAGATATAATTGAAATTTCTCGTCGGCATATTGATTATTAGCTACCATAGTAGATGTTATGCTGATCTATAACTCGAGAGGGTCGATAAACCATCACGACATGTTTAAACGGATGTGCTTATCTATTAGTAATTATTATATTTTAATTGAATTTCTGAGTTTAATAATAAATTTTTTTTATCTTTGGTTATATTTTTGTGGTTTAAACTTAATTAGATCGAATTAACGTCGTTTATTTGTTTTTGTTATTTATTTTTGAACGTGATCTTGAGAGGCCTGTAATATTTCGTCATTTCGAATTTTCGGATTGTTATTCCGACGTGTCCGTTGGAAGTTTTTGTAGTAGCCGGCGGGGTCCGGCTGGGACCGGTTGCCGTGGCACCAACCCCCCACAAAAATACCGCTTCGAACTAGAGAGCCGCCCCGACGAAGGGTCGGGGTGGCATATTCCGTGGGTCCGCAGGGGTTTGGGGATGATTCGGCAGAACTCCGAGGCTGAGGGTAACCAGGGGTATAAAGCCCGGAGGCGGTAGGGTTGGGACGGCGGCAGAGAGTCGGGAACGGCAGCGTTGGGGGTGAGGGTGGTGCTGGAGTATGGGGTTTACCTCCCACGGGTGGAACTCTCTCTCTTGGACCCTTTTTCCCCGGCATAAAGGAAAAATAGCTGCCGCCTCCGCCTCGGCCTCCGGCCCGGGTTTACCGCCACCGTTCTACCCTGATAAAGCTTCAGGTAAAAGCTCTATTACGTGGAGTTGGCGCCGAAAAAATGTCCCACCTAACGTACTTATTTTCGATGTTGGACGTTTCGGAACTCGCCGGAGAAGAGTTCATTCAATATTTATCAAGCTTTTTAGTGAGATCCGTGCATACAACCCCCTTTGGTTGATTCGTCTCTCATAAAACTTAATTTGCTTTACTTTGATATCGGGATTTGAAGCTTTTCGACGTCTAATTCGCGTCGTAGTCTAATTCAAGGATGCTTCGGCTTCTAATTTGAACTTTTTTTTTGGGTTTCAGAACTCTACCGGGGACCCAGTTTACCGAAAGGTGGCCGTCGTTGAAAACTTTTTTGACATCATCTATAACGTTCACGTTGAACTTGAAGGAAGACCAGGAAAGCATGCAGGACAAAAACGCACCTATCGCACGGTAAGTTTAACTTTCGAACGCGCGCCCCCGATTTTATAACACGAATGGGCGTGTGTCATAAATTTTATGACATCAGGTCTTTTTCTTGGCAATTTTCACCATGCTCTTTAAAACCCCATATCTCAGCAAACATCCATTCAAAAAACCTTTAAATTGGCACGATTACTCTACAAATGCTATAAAATAGATTGTCATTTGTATCAGAGTATGTTGTACAGGTTGGTCAAAAAGTGAATTACCTTTTTTCCGCATTGCCAGTGCAAGAAAGTGAAAATTTTAAATGGCTTATTTGATTAGCTCATCAGAAAGGGAATTTGCCGAGAAATGCCAGAAACCAGTTATATTTTTATTAGGACATGATATTTTAACAGTTTTTAATTTAATTTATTTTTACAATTAACTTTAATTGATAATCTTTTAGTTCACTATTTACCAAAAATAACAAATAGAAGAACAAATAAATGAATCAATGAAAACAAAAATTAGGTATGGATAAAAAATTTAATTCTCTCACTTTTAGGTTAAAAAAATATGGGGCTTACCATATAAAATTTTCAGCTTTCTTGCCAGTGAATATGGAGAAACGACAATCCATTTTTTGACCACGTATAAGATACTCTGATACAACAAATGACAATCTATTTGATATCATCTGAAGAGTAATCTTACCAACTTAGAGCTTTTATGAATAAATATTGGCTGAGATATGGGGTTTTAAAAGCATGGTGAAATTTACCAAACAAAAACTTAAAATCAAAATAACTCGAAAACGAAAAATACTAGGTACCAGTAACTGTTATCAAAGTCAACATATTTTTTCGCATACAATTAAAAGGTGCAATAAAAACTATAGCATTCCATTGTGGCCAAGTGGCCACCATCTTGAAAATACTTTAGATCGAAAGATCGGTATGAACCTCCCATATAAGCTAAATGACAGAAATGTTGATGCAATGGAACAGAAATAAACCCGTTTTATTTGCTGACTTTTTGGCGGACACTGTATATGCATTACGTTATTTTTAATAAAACAGTTAAAACACATATTTTGCTAGAGTAAAAATATTTAATTTATATTAAACAATTGTTAAAAACATAAAATTAAGTCGATTAATTTTTCAAATCTAATACATTTACAAACTACGTACTTTAGAAATTTTCTACGGAATTTCATATAAGTCGCAATATATGAATGCAGTTCTAGGTCTTGTGTTAGTTCTAGTGATAGTACTAGTATAAAAATAGAACTAACACTAGACCTAGAACTAAAAAGTATCTAGAAAGAATCGTTTGGGTTTAGCCGTCTTGAGAGACGTGCGGATAAATCCAAATGTTTCTAGTTCTCGGTCTAGTGTTAGTTCTAGTTTTACACTAGCACTATCACTAGAACTAAAACAAAACCTAGAACTAGAATCATTCGGGTTTAGCCGTACGTCTCTCAAGACGGCTAAACCCGAATGATTCTAGTTCTAGGTTTTGTGTTAGTTCTACTTTTATACTAACACTATCACTAGAACTAACACAAGACCTAGAACTAGAAACATTCGGGTTTAGCCGCACGTCTCTCAAGACGGCTAAACTCGAATGATTCTAGGTCTAGTGTTAGTTCTAGTTTTATACTAGCACTATCACTAGAACTAACACAAGATCTAGAATCATTTGGGTTTAGCCGTCTTGAGAGACGTGCGGATAAATGTGAATGTTTCTAGTTCTAGGTCTAATGTTAGTTCTAGTGATAGTGTTAGTATAAAACTAGAACTAACACAAAACCTAGAACTAGAATCATTCGGGTTTAGCCGTCTTGAGAGACGTGCGGCTAAACCCGACTGTTTCTAGTTCTAGGTCTTGTGTTAGTTCTAGTGATAGTGTTAGTATAAAACTAGAACTAACACTAGACCTAGAGTTAGAATCAATCGGGTTTAGCCGTCTTGAGAGACGTGCGGCTAAACCCGAATGTTTCTAGTTCTAGGTCTTGTGTTAATTCTAATGATAATGTTAGTATAAAATTAGAACTAACACTAGACCTAGAACTAGAATCATTCGTGTTTAACCGTCTTGAGAGACGTGCGGCTAAACCCGAATGTTTCTAGTTCTAGGTCTTGTGTTAGTTCTTATGATAGTGTTAGTATAAAACTAGAACTAACATTAGACCTACAACTAGAAACATTCAGGTGTAGCCGTCTTAAGCTTTTGAATATATTGAATATTGCCATAATTTCACGAAAAACCGAAATTTAACAATTGAAAAGATGAAAGAAATTTCGATTCCAACAAAATTGTCATTACAGACCTGTATTTTTCAAAAATTTGCAAACGTTCCGAAACCGTCATGTATGACTCAAAACCTTTTTATGATACATTTATATCCCTTAATACATCCCATAATATAAATACGGCCTTATAAATCAACAATTAATGTGTAAATTTGTTGTCTTTTATAACTTTTTTTGCCATAAAGACGTCAATATATATTTTTTTACATTTTTTTGTATCATGTTCAAAACACAGTGTGTTAATTAATTATCGTGCCCGACGTCATCATTGCAAGTATGCAACCAATATCACATTACTAGTATTGCAATACGCAAATCGCGATATTGGTTGCATACTTGCAATGATGACACCGCATACGATAATTAATTAACACAATGTACATAGTTACATGAATACTTTAGCGTTAAATCCTTTCAAATGCATAAAATAAGGAGATATATTATAAAAATGAAAAGTGTCATACATTTTATGACAGCACGCCCGCTCGTAGGTTAAAAGAATGAATCAAATTAAATAATTTCCCATGTTTAACAAGCCTTGAAATAGAGGAAAAGAGGGGGCGTTTTCTAATTTATATTCTTCCGGGCAATCCTCTCTAATCCGATACATCTAAAACTGTAANTTAGTTCTAGTTTTACACTAGCACTAGAACTAACACTAGACGTAGAACTAGAATCATTCGGGTTTAGCCGTCTTGAGAGACGTGCGGCTAAACCTGAATGTTTCTAGTTCTAGGTTTTGTGTTAGTTCTAGTGATAGTGCTAGTATAAAACTAGAACTAACACTAGACATAGAACTAGAATGTTTGCAGTTCTAAGTCTACTGTTAGTTCTAGTTTTAGTTCAATTAGAATATGCTACATAGTGATATCTTATGTTAACTAGCGCTATCTACAACTGTCACTAGAACTAAGATTAGACCTACAACTAAAAACATTTAGGTTTAACCGTCTTAAGCCTTTGAATATATTGAATATTTCCATAATCTCACGAAAAACTGAAAAGATTGAACAATTGAAAATATGAAAAAAATTTCGACTCCAACAAAATTGTCATTACAGACCTGTATTTTTCAAAAGTATACAAACGATCCGAAACCTTCATGTATGACTCAAAACCTGTTTATAATACATTTATATCCCATAATATAAATACCGCCTTATAAATCAACAATTAATGTGTAAATTTTTACTCTTTTATAACTTTTTTTGCCATAAAGACATCAATTTTTTTTTAACATTTTTTTTTTCAAAACACAGTGTGTTAATTAATTATCGTGCCCGACGTCATCATTGCAAGTATGCAACCAATATCACAGTGCTGGTATTGCAATACGCAAATCGCTATATTGGTTGCATACTTGCAATGATGACATCGCATACGATAATTAATTAACACACTGTACATAGTTACATGAATACTTTAGCGTTAAATCCTTTCAAATGCATAAAATAAGGAGATATATTATAAAAATGGAAATTGTCATAAATTTTATGACAGCACGCCCGCTCGTAGGTTAAAAGAATGAATCAAATTAAATAATTTCCCATGTTTAACTAGCCTTGAAATAGAGGAAAAGAGGGGGCGTTTTCTAATTTATATTCTTCCGGGCAATCCTCTCTAATCCGATACATCTAAAACTGTAATCTACTTGATATTCGACGTACAAGACACCTGTTGATCATCGATATTTCACCCTTTACTCTGAGCAACATCCCCCCGCTTGACTCACCCTCCTTTATCAAAGAGAATTTTCGGCAAATCGATTATTTATAGCATCATCTCGCATAGGTTATGTGCTTGCTATATTAAATCCTCAGACAATACCGTGCCATCACGAACCGGAGTGCTTGACGTAGGGTGTGTATGGTGCGGGGTAAAGGACGAGGGGGGTTGAAAGTCCGCTCTTATCCGTACACGCCGTTGCGTCGACGATTCGCTGTCCGAGGCAAAAACCTCCTCAATTGAAACGCCAGTCGCACGTTGCCAATTGTACCTTGTTTTCCTTTTTGCAGATAACGGAGACGTATGCGTTTCTACCGCGGGAAGCCGTCACCCGTTTCCTACTGGGTTGTACGGAGTGTCAGAAGCACCCCAGGTCCCCATCCCCCGTAGTTTCCGTCCTACCAACTCCCAGTCCAAGCCCCACATTACCGCCAGCGTTGGCTACACCGCAAACCCTCACACCGAACCAAATCGGACCAATTGAGAGGAACGCGGGGGAAGGTCAAAGGGTGACGTGCCAGGTGGAGCGAGAGGATAAGGAACAAGGACGAACGCCGGAGAACAAAGCGACCGCGACGACGGGGGAAATTAAGGGAGACCACGAGGATTCGCCGAAAAGTACGAATAAACGGTCTGCCAATCCTCTGGACGTTTGCAACTTAACGTCGAGGGACTCTCCGAAAACGCCGCCCAAAAAAAGACATCTCTCGAACCATTTATTATCGGAGAATCCTCCGCCCGCGTCGTCGACCCCTCCGAGAACGCCCCAAGAGTCGACCACCCCCAAGTTATGGTCGCCCATCGAGGGGATCGAAAAGGAGGAAAGGGACAGGAGGAGGTATTTTATGCCAAAAGAAATTGATTACACGTTGCCCATCACTACGACGTACCTGAAATACATGCGCACCCTTGGCTGCACAGATGATGAAGCCCTCAAACTGGAGAACAGACACGTGAGTACGATTATCGAGCAATTCTTGCGTGATATGATTACTCATTACTTTAATTAAAAATTAATTTTAAACGTGCACGTTTAATGTAACCTACTTAATTATTTATTTAATTTATTAATTTATTTACGTTATTTGATTTATTACTTTACCTTAACTTATTTTTTACTAATACTTTTGAATGCATTAATATTAATGTATATTTCTGTAAACTCATATTACAATTATATTAGCATTTATAAATTTATTGAATGAAGTTTCGATTAGTAATGAAGTAGACCATAGTAGATTCAAGCGATATTTAAAAACGTTTTCCGTAAAGCGAAACACATTTTATTATTAACACATTATTTTGTATTGATTTATTGTCACACGATAACCTTCATCGACTAAATTATTATAACGTGGCAAACGCGTAACATACTTATAATTCAACGGTTATGAATGGTCACATTCCATTAGTCCATATTATTGTTATTGTTATTACTATCATGTGAATTTATCTGGAAGTTTGTGTTAGTGTACGTGCGTGTAAAGAATGTGGGTTGTTATAACTGATGGGTTAAAAGGAAACGCAAGTAAGTCATTTTTTTATTTATTTTATAATAGTAAATTTTAGTATAATTTTAATGTATTAAACAGTTATTAGATATTAATTTTTAAGTGATTATTAATTTGAATCACAGTTGTAACTTTTCCGGGTTTGATTCGGAAAATATCAATTGAAATTTAAATCAATTAAACTACAATTAAAAGTTAATACAAAAAATATATAAACTTATAATTATATCATAGGCAATTTTATCATGGTAGCCAAAGAATGACGATTTCTAAAAAGTTCTAACTTTTAATTTAAAAAATATCTCTACCTAAAATGCAATGTCTTGAGAATCATAGTATACCATTTTTACGACATGGTATATTCACTATAAAGATATCATTGATTTCTATCAAAAATTATAGCGAAGTGCTACAACTTAGGGAATATTTATTATCTAATAGGATTAATCAATTTTGGTCTTTTTGGAAAAATAAAGTTAATTGTTGATTGTCTTTACGAATTTTACGTTACATTCTTAAATACAGCTATGACGAATATCTGTATGACATGGTAATAAAGCAACTAATATACACTGTGTGTATATTAGTTGCTTTAATAGCCAATATCACAGTATACGTATTGCAATACCAATACTGTGATATTGGTTGCATACTTGCAATGATGACGTAGGGTACGATAATTAATTAACACAGTGTATCTCTTTAACTGTGTAAATTGTATATTTTAAGTCTTGTGGATTTATAACATTTTAAGAATTTAGGTGATACCTCTTTACTGAAGTAGATTACAGGCTTCGGCCGCAAAAACATCGGTTTTGCCCTTTATGACATTGTAGTAAATCAACTAATATATCTCTTTAACATAGTAAATTCTAGAGCCTCGGCCGCAAACGACCTTGGCTTCTACAATTTTAACAGTGTCGATTGTAGTATTTTGGCTGACATATTTGTAATGGAGTATATTATAGCGTTTTGGAAATTTATGACAAATCTAGGTCCTTAATAAACCTCAATATTGCTCCAAGTTCTTGTTCCTTTATGTCAGTAGGTGTCAGGCGAAATTTGTGTTTTAGCCGGCCTCTGGCGACGTATTCACACAGTATATGTTCAGCGGTCTCTTACTCGTCGTTGCAAAGTCGACAAATTTGATCCTCAGCTTATCCAATATTGAAGAGGTGGTATTTTAGGGGCGTATGGCCATTCAGGAAACCTGAGAGTGACCTTATATTACTTTTAGGGATTTATTTAACCATTACTCTTTCTTGTTTTATTTTTTGATGTTATTTTTATTACAATGATATAAACATTTTGTTCAGAACTATAAAAAATGTATGGTAGGAAATAAATGTCTGCTATCTTTAGTATATTTTGATTTATACTTTATTTTGCTGTCAGACTTTAGCAGACTTATCAGCAAAATATTTATTCTACTTTATGCAAATATAACCTATAAATAACTTTTCAATCTCAACTTCAGCAATTTCATGAGATCTGGCTCAAAATAATGTTGGGGTCCGCATAGCACCACATCACCAGTTCTGTTAAAGAATATGTACGTCACCAGTAGAAGAGTAATTACTTATTTTAAGTAGCTTTTTTGTAGACCACAATCAGGTTGGAGTCCGATAAGGGGGGCCTTTTCATTGCCTTCAATGTCTTTGTGACTTGGAACCTACCATAGAGTAACTTCATTACCCCTAGCGAGTTTTCTTCTGTTGCCAGTACATTCTTTGACTAGTGTGGATTCACACGTATAGACCAGAATTGCCTTTAGGGCAGCCCGACTGTTTGTGAAAATGTTTATCGATGCACTTTTTTGTTTCTTTTCTAGGTTCAAAACGGTGCAGAAGTATATGGCAAGCACTTCAGCTTGAAAAATGGGTATATCCGAGCTTATATGATATTTAGTCCACTAATGCCAACACCTACTCGGATCCAATGCGGCAATTTCGGTTACTATTTTATAAATGCAGAAAAATTCATGACTTCAACCTCCACCTTCACGGTTGCAAAATTTCCTCCAAAATTGATCTTGTACGGACATATCATCAAATACCTGTAGCATATAAGAAGATGTTCATAAAATCGCAGTTACCACCCCATTTGGTCTTTTTGAATTTACTTTCTTATTAAGCGAATTCAGTATCATCATCCAACCATCAAAATCCCTTTTCGGAGTTTGTTTTTTAGACTTTTTCAGCCACAATGTTTCCTCAGAAGGAATTCTTCCTTCACAATCAAGAATTTAAAAGCTCTGCAAAGATTTTTAATTATTACCACAGATTAGTTCCAAAATTTTCAGATATTTTTCGACCTCTTTATGATTTTGTAAATTCTCTTAGAAATTCCAAAGAAATTATTAGTTGGTCGAAACAACAAATGTAATCGTTTACCACCGCAAAAAAACTTTTATCACAATTAGTAATTTTAGTAAATCCTTCTACAAAAGCAACTCTATCGTTAATTACAGATGCTGCTAATACTGCCATGGGAGGAGTGCTCTCCCAACCATCTTCTATAAAAAAATTTCTATCGCTCAAACGAAATTCATACATATTTTCAGCATGCAAATATTTCAAACATTTTCTTTACGGCAATCATTTCATCATTTATACCGATCATAAACCTTTGATAAATTCTTTTTATTCCACTTCAGAAAAATCTCTTCAATTTCGCTATTTAGACTATATTACTCAATTTACATCGGAGATTAAACATATTAAAGGAGATTCAAATATGGCTGAAACTATTCCAAAAGCCCAGAACAATAATGAAGAATAGAATCACCGCCTTGTTAGCATTTTTATTAATTGCGTAACTTCTTATTTACTCCTATTATCAAATTACCTTTTTTTGGGTATCCAGGATACTGTACTATTAAGTTTTTCATATTATTATAAATAAATATACAAATTCGAATTGAAGAGAAACGTCGAATATCGATACTTGTTTACTGAAGTAAATTACAGATATACTATCTCTTTAATGGTGTGGATTGTAGCTAATATATTTGTAATGGAATAAATTATAATTGCTCAATTGACTGCAAGCAACCTAGGCTACCATTTTATTAATGCAGCAGAATGTACTGCCTTGGCCGCAAACGACCTCGGCTTTTATCTTTATAACGTTGTAACGAATCAGTTGATACTTGTATATTGAAGAACCAGATTACATAGCCTCGACTACAAACGACCTAGGCTAACATCTTATTAATACAGCTGAATGTAATGCCTCGGCCGCAAGCGACCTCAGCTTCTATCTTTATAACATTGTAATAAATCAGCTGATACTTGTTTACCGAAGTAGATTACAGAGCCTCGGCCGCAACCGACCTTGGCTACTATCTCTTTAATGGTGTGGATTGTAGCTAATGTATTTGTAATGGAGTAAATTATAACGGCTCGACTCCAAGCAACCTAGGCTACCATTTTACTAATGCAGTTGTATGTACTGCCTCGGCCGCAAGCGACCTTGGCTTTTATCTTTATAACATTGTATTAAATCAGCTGATACTTGTTTACTGAAATAGATTACAGAGTCTCGGCCGTTGTGCTAAATTAGCTAATATCTCTTCAACGCAGATTTTAATTTAAATTATATGTATGTACAGTCATGTTCACGGGAAATGCACACTCAAGGTGAAGCGCTGTTGTGAGATCCGATATGCCGCTGGCTAAACTGGCTGAGCCGAACGCCCACGAGCCACGAGCTTCGTGGATCCCGATGATATCAAGAATTCACCTCTAAGAGTTGTCCAAGCCTTTGGCAAATCGTTAGGTTGGTTGATGTGACCAGAATGTGTAATGGGAGGATGCACAAGGGGCCCAATGGGGCCTAAGTGTGGTGTGCGATTTCGCACGCACTCCCGAATCCATACATACAGTCATGTTCACGGGAAATGCACACTCAAGGTCAACCGCTGTTGTGAGATCCGACATGCCGCTGGCTAAACGGGCTGAGCCGAACGCCCACGAGCTACGAGTTTCGTGGATTCCGTTTAGCCAGCGGCATGTCGGATCTCACAACAGCGCTTGATCTTGAATGTGCATTTCCCGTGAACATGACTGTATGTATGGATCAACCAGCCTAACGATTTGCCAAAGGCTTGGACAACTCTTAGAGGTGCATTCCTGATATCATCTGTGGTTAGCCATTTCTCCCCGAAGACTCTCATTCTGAGGTCGATCAGAGAGAGGAATTAGCAAGCTTCATGTTGTGAAGGTGCTTATTTACCTTATAGTCTTAGAGTGTTCCGTGACCTGTGACTATACGAAGGGCACTTTCGCACTTTTACACCATTTCGCTTCTTAAATTGTAGTCATTGTGTTAACAGAGTTTTGGGTCTCATTCATGCAATAGCTTAATATATGAACAGCAATTTACATATGTTATAAAGAAGCTGCTTTTTTCATTGACACGACATGAATTTTTAATTAATT